ACTTTTTTTCCTATTGTTTAATCTCTTATCCTTGTACATGTGACAGTATTATTGATGCAGAATATAAGAAGCTCATGGAAGGTTAAATTCAAAAAAACGATGATATTTGGACATTGGCATAATTTCAAAGAGAAACTAATCTTCCTGCATCAATTATAGAAATAAAGTGATACATGGAAAGCTTGACAATTGGTCTTAGAATACGTATAATCAAACATCCATACTTGTGACACTGTATTATAAGATACACTCACAAATACAGGGATAAGAAACTAGTTTTTGGTCTTAGAATACCTATAATCAAACATCCATACTTGTGACACTGTATTATAAGATACACTCACAAATGCATGGATAAGAAACTAGTTTCACTAGAAGGAAAGTGAAAAGTTAGAAAAAGAAAAAGAAAAAAGAGTACAGTCATGAAATCTCTTGAAAAGACAAGTTGAAACACAAACACACAACTACACATCCATACACAGTGACCCACCACACACACGCACACACACAAAAATAAAATAAAATAAAATAAAAAATAAAAAAAATACAAACAGACATGATTCTGAATATTTTATGATCACATACGAAAAACCATATTCTAATGATTGCAAGAAGTCTAAGAATGAATTCTCTTCACATAAATTTGCTCATGGTTCAACACAACACAACTTGAATGGGAACTCCTTTAACCAGCAAAGGCACCCTAAGCCCTTTGCAAACTTTAAACTTATGGAAACTATTTTCATATGTCTACTCCATGATAGCAAACGAACAAAAAGGAACATCATTCAGAGCTTCATAGGTTCTTTGTTCATCTCCTTCTAAGCCACTTTTTCCTTGTCTATGTGCAATAGTTTTCATCAACTGAATGAAAGCATGTATTAACCACCAGGGTTAGCCTAATGGCCAAATTCCATGTACGATACCTTACTCCGTGTAGGTCATGGATTCAATTTCCCTCCCAATACCCCCAAAAAACAAACGGAATGAAAGCATGTTTTCAAGATGATAAAGGACTTAAATTACTCATATGTATGACATATATAAATAAATAAAATTATATATTTTGCATGTATCCCCCATGCGTTGTATACTATATTTTTTGAAAATTTCCATGTTGGCTTGTCTGTGTTGTGTCACGTGTTTGTGTCCGTGCTGCTTAAATTGCAATCCATTAAACTCATTTTCAAATTTGTAGTAATGAACTATATCCACTATGATAAACAATTACTTACATTTTTTCCAAAAGGAATTTATGCGTTAAAAACTGTTCAATTTTCTCAACTCATGGCAGAGAATCAATACAGAGGTTAGCTCAATGTTTTTTTTTTTTTTGATCAGCAACAGACAAGAAAAATTTTATTAAGGCACAAGGCCAAGAGGATGAGGCATCCTCAACAGGAAAAAGAAAAAATACATCCAAAAAAAACAAAACAAAAACAAAAAGCCATCAACTACAAATTATTCAAAGCAAACCGACACCCAATCTGAAGCAATCACAAATCCCATTTAAATACAGTGGTTAGCTCAATGTAGGGCAATAGCGAAATGTGAAATGCTTACACCAAGATAATTACTGGGGCATATAAGCCAGCTTAAATTGAGAACTGAGAAAATTTTCTTCTCGCCTCTTTTGATCAGAGAGTCAATGATATCTTATTGTTGGAGATGGCTGCCATTTATTTTGAGTGAAACATTGATAGGCTTGTAAAATGTCTCAAAGTTTACTGCAAATTGCAGAGACCAAAAAAAAACCAAAAAAAAAAAAAAAAAAAAAAAAAAAGACATAAACACACACAAACAAACAAACTGTAGGTCTTTGTAGTCTCCTATGCACCAGCTAATACACAAAGTTAAAAGGATTTCTTCTGAGACCACTATGTCTTAGTGCCTTGAATAGACATAAGTTGGAGATGTGGGCATCTGCTCTTTGTGTTCAACATGCATGGTTTTAGTGCTTTCATATAGTTTGGAAGCTTACAAGAACTTTGTTTCATAGATACTAGATACCTTAAAATTATCTCCATCGTAATTCGCGAACTCTGCTTTTTTTTTTTTTTTCCTTCAACATATTCATAAAAAAGTGCACTCACACTTTTAATCAAGTCCAATTACAGTAACAAAATGGGAAATCCAAAGACCCCAACCCCCAAATTTTCAGGCATGACATGTACATGCCAATAAATAATTCAAATAGAATATCTGTAACAAATGTCTTTATGACATGCACAAATAACTTAGGAGACCATTTAGGGGATTTGCCCACCTATGTTCCATGGTACCAGAATTAGTACATGCACAGCCACATAGGAATCTGGTACCAGGAAAAAGAGTATGATTGAACAAATGCATAGATGCAGAAAGTTATATGTATGTTTACTACTGTTTAACATTAATTTAAAGCAAGAGGAGCATAATACATCATTAATTTACCCTCTTTAACAGTTTTATTTTATTTACTTATTTATTTTTATTCATATATAAACCTCACTCTACACTAAACACCATCTTTAACTGCAGGCATAGGCTTAAACCAACTAGTTCTCTGCATCACTTTTCACAAGCTTGGAATTCAATAATAGCACAAAACACACGTCTATTTGATTAGATTTTTAAAGGACACCTTCCACAAAAGAAAAAGAAATGAGTATGCTTTTTCATTTGGTCCTCAGGTCCCAAATAAGAATTTAATGTGCTTTCTTTTTGGCAATTATCACTCAAACTTAATCAACTGAACTCAATAAGCCTTGTCCCAATTACTAAGGTTGGCTCTATGGAATTGTTCCCTCCAAGTAGCTCTATTCTTGATTCCTCAACCTGTGTCCTCCTTAGCCTTCTCATATTTCTTTTAGCATCTTCATTGTGAACCAAATTACACCTCCCTTCAAGCACTTTGTTCTTCATCGTACATGGCCATTCTGAATGAATTCACCTCTTATTTTGGCTTTCCTTATAACAGGAATCACCCATCTTAACATTCTTGCTTCAATCACACCCCGCCTTTTTTTTAATATATTGTTTCTTAACAGCCCAATGTTCTATAACATGCATTATAGCAGTCTAGCAGGCATCATAACAGTCAAATTAAACTTAACCCTTCGATGTTATAGGTAGCTTATGATCTCACGACACCTTTGAAGCACTCTTCCATTTCATCCATCCTCCTTAATCTATCATTCTTTATGAATAATGGATTCAAGATATTAAAAATTATCTTTCTCAGATACCTTCTGGCCATTAAGTTTTACTTTATTTTCATTGCTATTTTTAATTTTGCTAAAATTGCACCGTATATCTTCTTCTTCTTTTCTTGTTGTTCCAACTTGCAAATTTTGGATTCCAAATAGCATAGGGGAGTACCATTTTAAACATTCATATGCAAAAAAACAAGGATTTAATATGGATCCTTGATGTAAGCCAACTATAATCGAAAATTCACTTGTTTCTCCCCCTCTTGTTCCCACACTAGTGACAACTCTACTGTATGTATTTTTGATTACATCAGTACATCTAATGTATATAAAAGAAGAAGACCTTCATATGGTTGTTTATTGACTTGGAAAAGCAAATGATAAGTAAGTTCCATCAATCACCAAATTAGAAAATTAGTTTCCACATAAGATTTTCTTAGAATACAACCAAATTTATTTTTTTGCTGTGTAGTCTGAAATTATGTGGCAAAATCTTGATAGCCAAAAAAGGGGGGAAAAGAGAACAGTTCACAATCAAAATTTGGCACATGTTTTGTGTGACAATAATGTAATTATATCAATTTTCCTATAAAATAAGCAATATAACTTAGTTGAAAACACATGACAAAAATGAGGTCAGGCTTTAGGAACCAATCTAGAAAAACTTAGCACAAGAGCAACTAAGAATATCTAGGTAGTAGAAACCACTACATACATATTTAGGTTTCATCCAGACTCAACCCTATACGTGCATGCTAGAGTATAGGGGTTGGCACCTTGCTAAAGTTTAGAATGGCAACCTTAGGATAACACTATCTTATTTTTGAAACTTGCTTCGAGGTATCCGGAAAGTGTAGTAATAATAGTTTACAAACCCCAAACATTCACAATAAGCTGGAACCACGAAGGAATGCCACAAGAGTACAAGTCCACAACATATCAATCACAACCCCACATTTCCACAATTACTATATAAACCACTTTTGTAAAGGTGAAAGTGAATAAATATGAAAATTTCCGTTCTCATAGAACCATGGAGAGTTACATCCCCACTTTTTTAAAAAAAAAAAAAAAAAAAAAAAAAACTACATCCCCACTTTCTAAACAGTATTCCTTTAATTAATATCAAGCAAAAAGGGACATCGAAACACCAGCTAAATTTTAGTTTCGTTAGATAGGTCATCAATTACAGCATTTAGTTCCAACAACAACCTGAAAATAAAAAATGATAAATTACCAAATATAGAGGAGATTACTATTATCAGGAACCCTTTCAGAAGGCCCTAAGAAAACTAGTATTGTTCAAATTTTAATTTCTCAGAAAACCCAAGAAAATTTAATAAAAAGAAACATTAAGCAAGTGGTGAAAATTCAAAATTATACCCAGAATTCACCAAAATCAGAAAATCATTCCGACAAGCCCTAGAGTCAAAACTCTAACTGCTGAATGAAATTCAACAACAGAAGGCTCTAAGAAACCAGTATGGTTAAAATTTTAATTTCCTAGAAAATTCAAGAAAACTCAATAAAAAGAAACATCAAACAAGTGACAAGAATTCAAAATTGTACCCAGAATTCACCAAAATAAGAAAAACATGCCGACGAACCCTAGCTTCAAAACTATCACTGCTGAATGAAATTCAACAACAGAACCACCCAATTCTCTAAAATTGAACATACCCAGACTCCAATTTACGCAGACAAACAAAATTCACAGCACAAAAAACAGCATAATTCAAAGAAATGAATGTGAAAGAGAATATATACATCTAGAGAGAGAAAAAAAAAGTTATAGAGAGAGAAAGAGACCTTTTTTGTCCAACCAGGAGGAGCTGGGAGTTCCAAGGAGAAACCTTCATCACCAGCACCGCTTTGGGTCTCCTTCGCTACTGAGCTCGACATTTTCAACCTACCAAATCCAAACCCAGAAATCAAAACCTGAAATAAAACACAAACGAAGCCAACCCACCTACACACATGTATATATACCCATTATATATACATACATATATATATAAAATATATTTCTCTCTCTACCTTTCGTAAGATGAATTTTGTGTAGAGATTATTATTATTAGGAACCCACGTTGTTGAATTACAGATTTGTCGAATTAATAAGACTGGTCGTCTCGGCTTTTTCTCTATTTTTGTAAAAGCTCGAAATCAACTGATTGGCCTTGGATATGGAGAGGACACCTGTCATCAATTTGGATTACGGGTCAGTCCGAATCATGCCTGTAATAGTTGACCCGTTTACCATTCATAGAGTAATTGATTGTTTAAAAGAAATTAAAAAAACAAAAAAGGCTAAATATCTCTATTTTTTTACTTTCGACTTTTCATTTTTTTATTATAATTTTGTCTTAATATTAATTTTTAATTTTGTCATCATCTTATCTTCTTGAGTCTAACTCTAATCATAATTTCATCACCACTTCCACTCTTGTCAGTGGCCGCCGATGACCAACCCACCTCATTTATTTTCCTCATCCGGTGAGCCTCTTGCCGCCATTTGTTGTTCACAGAACTATCAATGGCGGCAAAGGTTAGGGTTTTGTTGGTGGTAGTTGAAGCGATGGCGGAGAAGGAACGACTGATTCGGGAACTCTGTTTCGTGATATTCATCTTCATCTTTCGGAACCTACTCTTTTGTCTCTCTTTTGTGTAAGACTATCTCTCTCCCCTGTCAATTTCTCTCCACCTTACAGGTTGGTCGATTTCTCTTCGTTCGATTACACAGAGCTGAATTTGTTGAATATGTTCGATGCTTCGCAATCAAACATATGCCTTTTTTTCGGCTATATAGTATTGAGCATCAAGCTTTTGTTTAGAATTGGTTTTTCAAACAACAGTGAGAGTGGTCACGAAGGCAAAAAGAAGGGTTTTTCGAACTAGTCATCCATCATTCATTTTCAGCAACATCAATGTAATTCTCTACAATGGAGAAATCACCCTTTGAACTCGGGTCCATTACACTTCCAATGTTGTTACATTTCTTGAAACATAGTTTGCATTTGTTTGATACTTCAAGGAAATAGATAGTTGCACTATTGCTATTGCTATTGTTGCTGCTATCGTTGTTTGAGTAGGTTGTCGGAGTGGGAGGGAAATTGCCGGATAAGGGAATGAGGTGTTACAGGTGAAAAGTGAAGGGGCGGGGTTGAAAAGGTATATTTGATATTATGAAAGGGGTCCAAAGAAAAATAAAAAGGGAAGCAATTTTGGTGGTGGAGGCCAAAGAAGTGAGGGGTCCAAAGTAGAAAAGTAGGGACATTTAACAGCCCTAAAAAAATATTAAAAATATAACTTAGCGTTGATGTGTTTGTACAAAAAAAATGGGGGGTAAATTACACTTACACCCCATGCGGTTTGGGTTTAATACATATCATCTCTTGAAATTTGGGAAATTACACTAATCCCCCTGACATTGTAATTATTTAAACGGAATGAAAACATTGAGTTCATGTACTCTTTCTTTTCTTACTTTGCTTTACTTCTTCTGTTTTTTTTTTTTTTTTTTTTTTTTTTTTTTTTTTTTTTTTTTTTTTTTTTTTAATGACCCTTAAATGACTGATGAGTAAGTACTAGGAGTTGTTGCCTTTTATATAAGTAGGGGGGTTTGTGAAATGAGACTATTAACCACAGGGGTGGGAATGTAATTTCCAGAACATCAGAGACTGGGATGTAATTGGACTAAACTTCAGGGGAGGTGTTAGTGCAATTTACCCAAAATATAAAAATTGTATCTTTTGACTAAAAAACAAGTTTTGTTAAAATAAAGAAAGATTTACGGGCATGTCAAGATAACAATGCCTAAGTTGTGGAAATATTTTTGGAAAAATCTTGTAGAAATAGGAGTTTGTGTTTAGGTCCAAAGGACGAAAACCTCTTACTTCTTATTTTTGCCTCAATTAAGAGAACTTAAAATATCCAAAGAGTTTGTAAAATCAAGAAGAAAGATAAGAGGAAATGAGTTCAAAAACACCTTACTTTTATAACTTCAAATGGATTAAATATTACAAAAGTATAAGAACAAGTTTGAAAATATGAAATTGAATTACAAATAGAATTGAAACACAATTTAAGTCTCAAAACAATGCCAATAAAGGCCAAACACAACTAATTTGACATGGATGTCATGGTCTAAGACTAAAACAAAGATACCTTTCAAGTCTACTCCTAAGTTGAACTAGGGTTAAACTAAGGATAAATAACACTGGTATTATGCACTATGTTGAGTTGAGCAGTAGATTGATTGGGATTTGTATCATCATCAAATGGGGTATTTATAGATGCTAAAACCTTCTAAAAACCATGTCTACCTTCTAAAAATTTGCAACAACCTTTTGAAGAACCTCTATAATATCTTGAAAGTTGTTTACTGAATTGCCTCTTGGAGCGACACCTATCCTAACTTCCTCATTCTCCTCAACAAATTTGTTAGTTAGTTCCTTAAGGATAGGAGTTGTTATAACCTCCTTCAATCTAGACCATTGGATGGTGGGTGGGGGTCTTGGATGGTTGCCATGTGTCCATGCTTAGTCAACTCACGCCTCTTTTGTAGGAGTCGTTTGAAATATTTGAATTCCAACCGTTGGATTAAGTTGGGAAGTTGATATGGACACTCCTTGATTACTGCCGTGTGTCCTCATGATTGACCTGTTTAAACCTCATCAATATATAAATATATTAATAGATTTAATATAAATATTATATATATATCCATTGAAAGTGAGAAAAAAAGATGCGTGATCTTGTCCCTATATCCTAGGGATTTGGTCAAATCAAGATCAAAGTTCATGATTGCAAAGACTTTTCCTAAATTTACTACCACTCTTCTTTACTAAAATCACCCACTTTGCATCACCACAAACACACGTCGCACATTTCCATTGGTAGGTCATTTCTGATACAAACACTGTCCCCCTCAAGGCTTTATTCTTTGGAGAAGGATGAGGCTTGATTTTTGTTAGAATTTGATCTCACCATTACTCCTTCTACCATCAAAATCCTCCTCTTTACTTGTCCTAATTAATTTAGGATTCTTCCATCATTCTTGGCGGCAAATTCCAGGTAATTTAAAATTCAAAACAATTTGATTTCCAATCTTTGAGTCCAACATTCCCTATAAATGTCATGACTATTAGCCATTTTATTCATCATCATCAAATAGTTCTCTTCTTTTCCATCTCTTTCTTCCATAGCTCTAAAGCTTTCAGGCTTGCCCATCAATTGCGACAAAGAGATTCACTTCAACACCAAAAGACCCCAGCAGTGTAGGAAACACCATTATCACCATCATTTAATGGCTATCTCATTTCAGTTGCTTCTCTTATTTCTTCATCGGCTTAATAACAACATGGGCTTTGGCCTTCATTGCAAGTTCCTTATCCATCCTTCTTAGAAGCTTACTACTCTTACTTGGAAGGCTGTCTCCCATTTGCTTCCAAAATCATCCCAGAATGGGATAAGTACCAGACCAACAATCCTATAAGGCTTTGGCATTTTGCAACTTATCCCTCTGTTAAGTGGCTCAATCGTGTCGCTGCTGTGAAAGGAGATTTGTGGAAGGAGATTAGCATATCTATGACTTAATCATGTTGAGTCGTTCTACTTGGAAGTTGGACAAAGGGTTTCTCCTTGTTGCCAGTCAATTCTGGTTTGTCTCTACCAACTCATTCCACTTCCTTTTTGGGATGATGGCTTTAACTTTGCAAGATCGAGTATTTTTGGCTGGTATTCGTTGTAACTTGCTTTTCGTGCTCCTTTCGGATACGACTAGCCCTACAGTTCAGACTCCCGTAGTTCTGAATCTGATTTCACAAGTGCAATGTGAAATCGATAAACATAAATGAGTCCAAATTTGGCAATTCTTTTGGAAAATTGATTTTGAATAAAAAATGCCAAAAATAGACTACTTTGCCAGATTACAGAGTCGCCACCTAAATATTTTTGGGAAATTTAGGAAATCCGTGACTCATGCCAAAGGCCACTTATCCATCATCACTAAAGTGTCTTGGCTTGGGAACTTAGGTACGAGAGGGGAAGGTCATGAATTGAGCACCCCACTTGCCCGATCAAAGATCGGCCTCTACTAACCATGATGTGATTCTTATTTACATTATATGCTCTTGTTTCGATTATTTAGGTTAATTTACTATGTGCTGCACACAAGTATAAACTAATTTGCAAAAGTTGGAACACTTTGATTTCATGTATGTTTTGAAAAGTGTTTGAATATGCACCACTTGAAAAAGTGATCCCATATATACATTTGATCAAATCATCCCAATTTGAGCAATTAGCCTTTATCCATAGGCATTCAAAACAGGTATATCATTTAAGCATTTAGCCTCATGGTGTCATGCTTGATATGACAACAATCACACACATGCGATATGCTAAAGCAATAAGTGCTCACCTCATACTCCAAGGCAAGCCAAAAAGAAATAAAAGAGTTAGAAAAAAAAAATGTATGATCCTAACGATACAAGATGGCTAATGCAACACATACAAAAAGGCAGTTAATAGGTCCGATTGGCTAATATGTCATGTGAATCACTTTGATAGCATGCGGTAACGCACGTATTCAAGAAAGTAATAAATGACAATGCCTTTAGAATGGTGAACCGAACCTTATACGTGCAAGACAAAAAGATACTTTGTACATGAAAAATGCTAATTAAAACATGATGCTCTATTCTATCCATCATAAGCAAGTAAATGAAAGGGGAAAAAAATGGGGATTGAAAGACGTACACATTATTACATTTTTGCCCTCATGCAGGAGAGTCTGAATAAATGTCCTAGCTAATTACTACGAATTAACTAGCTATTACAAACCAAATGAAATAAATTAACTACACTAGCTAATTATTACAATACAAAAATGAATAGTAATGAATTAATTACAAAGCAAAATGAACTTAACTACTCTAGCTAATTAATCACTTTACAAGATGAATTAACTAACTATTTACAACATAAATTAAGTTGCTATTCTAACTAGTTAATTAATTGCAACACACCACTAGTGAACCCAATTTTAATAGGCCCCGAGAAATGAGGAATGACTTATGCATGCACCCGGATTTCCACCTGAAAGTACCCTCTGTC